CCACTGAGCTATCCTGGGTGGCCCCTGAGGCTCCTTCCTCACATCTCAAGTATCTCAGGGTCTGGATGGAGGTGGAGTAAATATTCTTTTGCCCTCACCCCCTTTGCTGTTTTCAAAGCACTATCCTCCTTCAAAAACCTCCAGCTCCTCTGAAGTTCATGCTCTTCAAACCATTTCTGCCACTTTCTGTCTTGCTCCTTTTCCTGCTATTCCCCACATAGAAATCAGAGTGATCTTTTAAAAACTTAATTTGGATTATATCCTTCTTCTGCTTAGAACCTGCTGTGATGTATTGTCATAATTCTTAAGACAGGCTTTCAATTTAAAGGAAAAAATGTGCATTTTGATCAAGAATAAAAAATATTTTAAATATCATTTATTTTGTGGTCATTCACATATTCACTTATCTCTTCATTGTATTTCAGTTAGAGATCCTCTTGAGTAAGTGGTACCTTATTGTTAATATTTAAACACTCAGTTACTAAGCTCGTTACTACTGTAGCTCCTAAAGCTGTCCATGATTTGGTACTTGTCCACCTTTTCTGTTTGTTTCTTAAATAACTCATTCACACTTTGGTGTTCACATCTAAAGGTTACTTAGATCTGTCTGGAATTCTATTGCCCAAGGCTTTCTCATGGCTGCTCCTTCTTATCATTAAAGTCCTTCTTATCATTAAAGTCTAAGCTCAAATGTCACTTGCTTAGAGAGAATGTTTTTGCTTTTATCATCCAAGATGGTCCCTCTCCCATTCGGAACACACTTTATTAGGATTTGAAATTGTGTTGCTCATTTGCTTACTTATTTTTTATTTTCAATCTCATATCATTCCCTCTGTCTCCACAATAAAGTATCAGCTGCATAAGAAGAAACATTAACTGACTTTTCATCATTGAATCTCAAGTCTTTAGGCTACCTCCTGGCATATGATACATTTTTTTCTTTAATGAAAAAATAATTCTTTTAACCTTTTGTTGAACAAAACAAGGGTTTCAGAGTAAGGCATAATGACCTAATCAAACACCAATTAAAAATTACAACATTATTTTTTATTGAAAGGATCTTAGAGACTTTTTGGATCAAGCCCTCATTATCATAGACTCATGGAGAGTCAGGTGTGGAACATCTTAAAAGCCTTTAATTCCTTCAATGAGCCAATGTCTTCCTTGAATTACCTCTACAACTAGAAGGTGATGCTTCCATACTTCCTGTGATGAGCTGCTCACTACCTCTTGAGGCAGTATTTTCCATTTTTGGCCATCTTAGTCTGTTAGAAGGTCTTCTGCATTTTCAGAAGACATCTATCTACCCTAATTTTCACCTATCAGTCTTGATTTGTTCCTTGTAGGACCACAAGAGACAAGCCTTTTTCTCTTCTACATAGTAGGTCTTCAAATATTTCAAGAGAGTTGTGATCAGTCTTCTGCAGGTTAAATGTGTGTGCGTGTTTTTTGATTATTTTTTTGTTTTGTTTTCTGAGTGCATTGATAAAAAAACAAACAAACTCATTATCCAAGTAGTAGAATAAATCAATAGTCTTACTACAACACATTTTAAGATTCCCAAATCAATTAAGGAATGATTTTCAGTTATGATAATCATAGTTTAATACATTCAATTTTAGATAAAATAATTCTAGGATAGGTTCGATTTTATCTGATTCTCATTTATTTTGTCACTGTAGTGGTTTGGTGACCTTGTGACTCCTGTGTGGTGGGAAGATGTGTGGCTGAAGGAAGGTTTTGCTCACTACTTTGAATTTGTTGGTACAGACTACCTCTACCCTGGCTGGAACATGGTAAGTGCACTTTTTAAAAAATGTTTAGAACTCCCAGTGAAAGATTGCTCTGGCATTACACTGGGCTATTTTATCATTAGAGATGACTTAAAGTACCATCGGATACATGGAAAAAATTAGATGTCCAACAGAGAAAAAATAACCAAAATTTAAAATTTGTATTTTGTAATTTTAAATTTGTAATTTTAATTTGTACATTACATAAATATTCCCAAAGAATTCTCTTTTAATTGTTAGAACTAAATAGAGTTTGATTGCTTATAAATTAATTTTAAAATGCTGCAACTTTTCTAAATAGATATGTTTTAGACTGCAGTATTTTATAATGAAGACAAACTGTTCTTTAAAAAAGGTGCAATAATTAATATGTAATGTTTTAAGTAATTAAATAATTAATTACTTGTTTTAAGTAATTAAATAATTACTTGTTTTAAGTAATTAATAAGTAATATTTTAATATTTTACACAGTATAAATAACATATCTGAATATTTCATTACATAGAAAAATGAGAATTTAATATTTCTTCAATATTTCTTCAATGTGATGAAACACAGAAATAAGCTAAATCTGTTGACGCATTATTGTTGTAGATGTACTTTAGAATTAAATGACTTAACAAGAGGTGATAAAGTTTATGAAGCATTGTGCACAGTATACTTACACTCTAGGAAAATACTTATATGTTTAAACCTGAAGTAAGATTTGTTGTCCCTTTAAGCAGTGATGTTCTAGAGCATTCTAGGGGAAAAAAATGGAGGGAGGGTGTGATTTTAATATGTCTTTTAATATAAATTTTTTATTTTTATATGTGTCCATTAATCAATAATGACTATGTTATTATTAAATGGAGCCCAGGATATTGTTGTTTTAAAACTCAAATTTTGAATTTAAGTGTTATTATATAAAAGCTGCAAAGTACCAACATTTATCAACTTGCAGGAAGTCAAATGTAACCTGTGATGTAACATAGGTGATACTCTTTTTGATGTGTAAATTATTAATTATAAGTGATTTTCTAAATATCTGTCATGATTACAAGTATGATTTGAGGAATACTTAAACCAAGGTGAAATATGAAGATATCTGTAAATCATGATACAACTTCTCTATCATAAATTCAACCAACTCTTGCTGAGTAAAACATGTGATCTGACATATCTCATAGAAAAATATTACAGTAGTATACCATATTGACATGTTTTAATTATGCTCATGCAGTTTTGTCCATATTTTATAAAGGCAACATGATTCATTTGCACAAATGTTTGATAATTTTACTTAGCCTTATATATCTAGGTATGTATGTATATATGATATAGTTTTTAAAATTTTACTTGAACTGTTTTATCATGATACTGAAATTAATTAAAAATTCCTTTAAAGAACTTAGAAAAAAAATCATCATTACTTTGCAATATTAATTATTTAAGTATTCTTTCACAAATGTAAAATTTGAAACTTCAATGTTTAAAGGTATTGAAACATTTCCAAAAATATCTTGGTTTTTAGATGACATTCTACCAATTCTGTTTAAAATTTTTATCTAATTTTTATTATGTTATATTATTATTGATTTATAACTTCATTATGTTTTAATATCTAAAAACATTCTTATTATGAATGACTTGTTACTCATATAGGTAAGCTTTTTTTTAAAGCTCATTCAGCTACTTACGATAAAATCCTTTCTATTCATCATTATGAAAAACACCTCTTTGATAAAAAAGTAATCAACAGAATTATACACAGAATGACAACTGACAGCTTTTAATGACTTTATCATGGCAATATGTCCTAAGTTTTAATGTCTTTATATTGGATTTTTTCTTTGAATAACTCTTTATATTTCTTTATTGTTTTATCAGTTAAGTTATAAATGTAGGTCTTCTAGAGAACATTTTTGTAAGAAGTATTTAAACTGAACACAGAGTGTAAATAATATATCTGAGACTTTGTCCTTAATAGAATACAGACCATGCACTGGAAGTATAAAAACCTTGGGGTGGTAAAATATAAGATTTTATTTCTTGTAAATTCATATTTTTTAATTAAGAAATGGTAATTAATGATGTCACAAGTACAGTGACACAGAAGGCTTGCCCTATTAAACTAAGAAATGAAAGATTAAACTCCATCACAATTAATTAGGCAGTAGGGAGGAGGAACAGGTCTCATTATGATGTTTCCTTATGTTCAGATTGTAAAGATTATAAATACTTCTAATCTTTGATTGCTTTTGCTTTATAGTAGCTTTCTTTTTTTAGTTTGTAGAGTACCTCAATATACTAAATTCATAAAGCCTATAAGCAGAAACTCTAAACAAAGTGCTCATCCATGTGTCATTAATATCTTCTCTGCAAACAAAATTTTAAGAATAAATAAGTTAGTCATGCAAATAGAAGAGGATATTAAGTGACTTTAAGGCTGTGCCAGCACTATTTTTCATAATGGCGTCAGCAAAAGAGTGAAAGAAATACTACAAAAAACAAGAGTGATAGCTGTGTCAGCAGTAACTAATACCATTGTGATATGCACAAAAGCTTGCCTAGGAGCACAGGACTTGGACTTCACTAGAGCTTAGCTTAAAATAGGAAAACCAGAAGTCAAACTCATGTCAAGAGTAAAGAAATTCAGGGAGCTGACCTCTTTTGCCTCAAATCTCAAAAACAGTGCTTTTATCATTTTTAGATACAACGGCTCAAGCACTGAAATACAATTTCAATTTGCTAGGGAGATTACTATGACAATCTACTTTCGATGGAATAACAATAAAGAAGCCCAGAATTACACAGTATTGTTAAGAAAGCTCTTGTACTGATTTATGCCAGTATACTTGTTTAGGCTGCTTAACTGTTAGTAAAATCTTAGGTTCTGTTTGTGTGTGTGTGTTTTCAGAGCCAGTTTCTGGTACAGAAATAATCAGTTTTTATATTAGGAATAGTACATGGAATAAAAACCATTATGATAGTTTTGTTCTCCAACAAATAAATCAAGTTTACCATTTTATAGATATAGGCCTTTACATATGGACCTTACATATAGTATGATGTAAGGTCAGGGGAATGGATTGGAAAGAAGAAACTCGGATTCCACGAAAGACATTTCACTTCTCTGACTCATCCTTATCATTTGAAAAATGGGGCAATTGTACTGATTTAGCAAGCTCACATAGTTTTTGTGAAGATAAAATAACTTGCAACGTCTTTGAAATGTATGAACCACTACTCAATGTGAGTAGGCATCATAGACCTAGAAAATAAATCCTCCATTAGAAAGGTGCATTGATTTTATGTATAGATGCCTTGATATTTCCAATTCCAGTAGTCTATTTTGACACTCTAGATTTATAGCAATTATATATATAGATTACAAAATAATTACTATAATCTTTGTATCTAGACTCAGTCTCATTAAATCAATTTTTATCTATACTGGCAATGTGAACTATTCTATAAGAACATAAGTTTGTATTATATTTCATTCATCAAGCAAGTGTCAAGATTATCAGAAGCAACTTCTTCAGCTCAGGGCTAAGGATACATTTCATGTGAGGAGTAGTCTTTTTGCTTGATGTTATTTTATCAAAGATGTTAGTGACAACTATTGGATGGATCAAGTTACAGTATGCTATTGATGGCAGTCATATTAAATCTTAGTGTGTTTCCTCAAAAGGAAGAAAATGAAAGACTCATGAAACATGGTTACCGTTTTTCAATAATTCTCAATCATTTGAATTTGAAAAAGTCTATGATAAAAGAGTTTTAATACAGGAAAATGATACATAGTAAAATGATACTATAGAGAATCTCTTATTTTACAGACCTGGTGTTGATGCAAGCAAAATCATATCCCCTGTGCATATTGCATAGATTTTCATTGTAATTTGTATCTATATCATAGGTGTGTCCTTTAATTTCCTGGATATAGCATTATAAAGACGTGCTGCTATAATGAGAATTACTAAACATAAGTGTATGTTCTTTTATTAATTGAGTTGCTATGGAGCTTTACACAGCAATAACTATGCTGATAAAGTCTGCAGACTGGGAATTCTCCCTAAATTTTTATGAAGACACAAACCTGGGCGTAAAGGTAACTATTAATGGAGAATCATACAACTAACTTGATTTTGCTAAATACGCAGGATATCTCAAAGTGTATTGCCTAAAACCTTGATAAATGTTCTCAGTTGTCTCTATCATGGACAGAACTAAAATAGTAAAAATGAATTCAACCATTAGTCTCAGTATTATTTTAATATGTCCAACCAAAATTGTCTGCTAAACTCAACAAGCATTGCGATACAATTATCTTTACTTTTTAAACTATTTTATTTTTATTCAAAGAGAAGTTGATAAAATCATTGGTAAAGTGAAGTAGAAAAAGTAGTCTTACCTTATCTGATGGGGGATATGTTCCAAGATCCCCCAGCAGATGCTTGAAACTGCAGATAGTACCAAACCCTATACATACTGTATTTTTTTTGATAAAGTTTAATTTATAAATTAGGCACAGTAAGAAATAACAACAATATTATTAATAAAATGGAACAATTATAACAATATACTATAATAAAAATTATGTGAATGTGCCCTCTCTCCCTCCTTCTCTCCCCAATAACCTATCTGAAAACCAAGATGGCTATTAAATGACTAACAGATGGATAGTTTATATAGTGTAGTTACACAGGACAAAGGGGTGGCTTACGTCCCAGGTGAGACTGAATGGGACTGCATGAGATTTCATCATGCCACTCAAAATAGCATACAGTTTAAAACTTAAGAATTATTTCTTGAATTTTCCATTTAATATTTTTGGACTATGATTGACTGCAAGTGACTGAAACCACAGAAAAGAAAACCATGGCTAAAAGGGGATTATTATATAGGGTTTATTGAATTCAATGTTTTTCCAATTTAAATGTAAAAATATACTGCTTAACCATTCTCAACAAAAATACTCTACTAATAAGAGAGGGAGAAAGAGAAAAGTAGAGAG